TAAAAGACCACATACTGTTGGGATGGTGTGGCTCGGTGGCTGGAGGTCAATCCATGAACCAGGAAGTCACAGTTTGATTTGTGATCAGGGCACATAGCTGGGGTTGCTGGCATGACCCCCATTCCAGGGAGTGCAGGAGGCAGCTGATGAATGATTCTTTCTCATCACTGATGTTCCTATCCTTCTCTCTCTCTCCGTGAAATCGGTAGAAAGAATGTATGCACCCCTATGTTCATAGCAGCACAATTTACAATAACTAAGTCCTAGAAACAGCCCAAGTGCCCGTCAGTGGACGAGTGAGTAAAAAAGCTGTAGTACCTTTATACCATGGAATACTATGCAGCAGCAAAAAAGGAGAATCTCTTACCCTTGGAGACAGCGTGGAGGGACCTGGAGAGTATGACTGAATGAAATAGGTCAGTCAGAGAAAGACAAGTATCACATGGTCTCACTAATAGGTGGAATCTAATTAACAAAATGAAGTGATGAACAGAGTGGTTCTAAAGAACCAAAGCATCTCAGAGGGAAGGTGGGGAGGATGGATGGGTGAAAGGTAAGCAACCAAAGAGCTGGTGTGCATCTACGCATGGCCCATGGCACAGACTGTAGGGCGGTGAAGGCCTGGAATGGGAGTGGGGATGGTCCGGAGGGAGTCCATGGGGGGAAGAAAAGGGATATACGTAATACTTGCAACAACAAAGATTAAAAAAGAGAAAGAATTATACAACATGACTACATGAGGTTTATCTCACAGATACAAAACTAGTACAATATTGAAAATCCACTATATTAACAAGTTAAAGGGGGGGAAAAATCACCTGAGTAATTGATGCAATAAAAGCATTTAGTAAAATTCGACAGTCATTCATAATAGAAACTCTCAGAAAAACATCCATAGGAGGCAATTTCCTTAACCTAATACAGCTAATTCTATACTTATGATGAAAGACTAAATACTTTTCCCCTAAGGTTGGGAAAAGACAAGGATGCTTACTCTTTTCACTTTTATGTGACACAGTGCTGCTTTTTCTAGCTATTGTGATAAGACAACAAAAGAAAATAAAGAGTGTAAAGACTGGAAAGGAAAAAATAAAACTGTTCCTTGTTGTAGATGACATGACTGTCTACACAGGAAAGCCCAAGGAATCTACAACCTTCTCCTACCCCTCTCCCCCAAAACATACACCAAAATGCCTCCTGTCCCTAAAAAAAGTGAGTTTAGCAAGATCCTGGATACAAAACATACAAAAATAAGCTAAATTCTATATACTAGCAATAAACACTTAGAAAGCAGAATTTAAAATATAGAACCATTCACAATTATTCAAAAAATTACATACTTAGGTATAAATATAACAGACCATGTACAGGATTTATACAATGCTGATGAAATAAATCAAAAAGATGTAAACAAATGGAGAGACATAGTATATTAACGAATTGGAAGACTCAACATAGCAAGATGTCAATTCTCCCCAAGTGAATACACAGGTTTAATGCAACTACTATTAAAATCATAGTAATATTATTGTAGGTGTAAATAAGATTATTCTAAAATTTACATGGAAAAGCAAAGGAATTAAGATAGCTAAAATAATTTTATAGAGAAAAGTAAAGTAAGTGGGAGTAATCAGCAACCAAGTTGAAGTATCTAATTTACTATGTAGCTACAGTGATCAGGACTGTGTGGTGCTGGCAGAGGAGTAGGCATATAGATCAATGGAGCAGAATGGAGAACTCAGAAAAGATCTACATATATATGCCCAACTGGGTTTTGACAAAGGTGAACATGCAATTCCATGGAGGAAAGGATCATCTTTTTAATAAATAGTGCAGAGCAACTGAACATCCATAGCTAAACGTTCATTTCACTCTAAGTCATATATCTCACGCAGAATTACTTGAAAATGCATCATAGACTTAAATGTAAAACTTAAAACTATGTAACTTTTAGAAAAAAGCATAATAGATCTTTGGATCTAGGCTAGACAAAAAGTTCTGAGACTTGACAGCAAAGCATGACCCAAAAAGGAAACATTAAAACTGGACTTTCCCCAAATTAAAAACTTGTGCTTTTTGAAAGACCCTGCTCTGAGGATGAAAAAACAGAGTACAGAGTGGGTGAAAGAATTTGCAAAGCATGTAATATAAGGATATATAAGGAACCCTCAAAACTCAACAATTAAAAAGCAAACAATTCAGTTAACATAAACAAAAGCCAGGAACAGACATCTCCCTGAAGAAGATACACTGATGGTAAATCAGCGCATGAGGCGATGCCCAACATCATTAGCCACTAGGGGAATGCAAATCACAGCCATAATGATATGCCCCTGCATATCTATCAGCATGGCTAACGTAAAAAACCAAGTAAGTGCTGGTAAGGATGTGGAGAAACTGGATCACTCAGACATTGTGGTGGGAATATAAAATGGCCCCGCCACTCTGGAAAATAGTTTGGCAGTTTCTTAAAAAAAAAAAAAACAAACACAAAAAACAACTGCAACTACCATACAACCCAGCAATTGTACTTCTGGGCATTTATCCCAGAGAAATGAAGACTTATATTCACATAAAAATCTGTTCACAAATGTATACATCAACTTTATTTGTAATAGTCAAAAAGTGGAGACAATCCAAACCTCCTTCAACAAGCAACTGGTTATACTGTAGTATACCCCGGTATAACTCCTCAGTAGCAAAAAGGAACAAACTACTGATAAATGCAACAACTTGGATAGATCACCAAAGAATTATGGTGAGCGGAAAAAGCCAATCCACAAAGTTGCATATTGTATGATTCCATTTATACAGCATTTGTGAAATGACAGAATTCTAGAAATGGAGGACAGATGAGTAGATGCCATGGGTAGGGAGGAGGTGAGGGTGGAAAACGGACGTGGCTTTGAAAGAGTAGCACGAAGGATCCTTGTGGTGATGGACACATTTGGTATTTAGGCCAGTGGTTGGCAAACTCATTAGTCAACGGAGCCAAATATTAACAGTACATGGATTGAGATTTCTTTTGAGGGCCAAATTTTTTAAACTTAAACTTCTTCTAACGCCACTTCTTCAAAATAGACTTGTCCAGGCCGTGGTATTTTGTGGAAGAGCCACCCCCAAGGGGCCATGCATATAGACTATAAACATCAATTTCAATATCATGGTTGTGATTTTGCAGTTTCATTTCCCAAGATGTTATCATGGGAAACTGAGTAAAGGGTACATGGAATCTTTCTACATCATTTCTTATAAATCCATATGAATCTATAATTACCTCAAAATAAAAAGTTTAATTAGCAAAACACTAGCTTAAAATGTCAGGATAGGTTTGGCTGGTGTGGGTCAGTGATTAGGCCATTGGTCCACCCACCAAGGAGTCTCGGGTTTGAATTCCAGTCAAGGGCACATACCTGGGTTGCAGGTACAATCTAAGACCCTGGTTGGAGTGCATGTGGGAGGCAACCAATTGATGTGTGTCTCTCATCTCTCTCTCTCTCTCTCTCCTCCCCCCACTTCCTTCCATTCTCTCTAAAAATCAATGGAAAAATATCCTCAGGTGAGGATTAACAATAACAACAAAAATCTCAGAATATAAAAGGATATGGGTAATTACTATGTGTTATAAAAAGAAGATATTTAAAAAACTGAAATTAATTTCTGGTATTATATTGAGTCAAATTTTTGGTTATAAATTGAGAAATTGAAGAGAAAGAAATGTATTTTCATTGAAATTTCAGTTCAGTTTCCAAGAGACCAATATATAAAACAAATATATATTGTTTTTTTGGAAAAACCCCTCAGCTCTGGGGAAAAATCAGGACAGGACCCAGGACTGAAACAATACACAGGATTTCACACCAGTTCTCCAACATCCACTTCCTCATCCTGCATACAAATCTCTGTTCTAGCTTCTTTACTGAACTTCATGTAAATCACATCATCTCTGGCCACAATTTCCTGCTTCTCAGTAACAGATAATATATATATATATATATATATATATATATATATATATATATATATATATATGTATATTTACCTCCCATCAAACAGGATATTTGCAAGGAAATATCTGTATAGCACGGAAATGTTTGAAAGAAAGATCCCCAGAAACTGTATCTGCAAATGGGTTCATTTAAAGCATTTAACTCTATTTTATATAAGGAAACATGTACAGTGGGAGATAATGATTTTGAAGGGCGACTGGAAAAAAACAAAGACAAAATGAATGAGATTTAAACAAAGTTGACCTCCCAATTTATTTTCTCAGTTGTCTTCAGGTTACTGGTGGAATGTTCAGTATTCTAAAGGCATGTAGAACCCAATCTATTAGCGAAACCATCTTAATAGGATGGATTTTTCACAGCAGGCTTTAAAAGTTTGAAGAAAAAAAAAAAAACTAGACAAATAAACAACAAAAACCTCACAAGGCTGCAAATCCACAAGGGGCCTGGTGAAAAATGTCAACAGCATGGAAATAAGAGGTAATACACTCGAATTTCATTTTACCTGAATTGCAGCACTAATTTAATTTTGTCTGGTATTTCAGTTACTCATTCAAGTCTGAATGCCTCCACTTGAATCTCAGCTCTTTGATTGCAAAAAATCACGACTCACACTTATCTTTATAGTCCCACAGGCCATAGCTTTGCATGTAAACGGAACTCTGCAAATACCAAATTGAACAAATGTACCCACGTATAATCCAGTTTAAAGAAACATGCCCGAGGTGTCCCCAAATAGAAGGTGACCATCTGATATTTATTAGCCTCAGCCCTGCAACTTATTGAACAATGTTTTCATCAATTTCTCAATTTATAAAAAGCGAATTGTTATGTGAATGGAATTGTGGCTCACAATCTGAGAAACTGGTTTCAAAAACAAGTCTCTGAGCCCAGAAAGACATCAAACAAGACAGTGAGAAACTTTTAGCTGCTACTTGTCATCAATTAGCTTTTGAATTTTTAAAAAGTTTTAATTTTTTAATCTTTACTCACCAGTGTCCAGTCTTGACTTGACATGCTGATACTTTGGGTTTTGTGGTATTCTTTTGGTCAGATACTAAAAAAAATAAATAAATAAATAAAAAATTAAAAATAAATTGGGTTAATGTAAAGACAAGGGTGGCAAAGTTAGGAGTCAGATACTTCAAAATTAGAACAAATGCTATGATTTTATCAAATTTATAGGTGGGGAGAGTTCAAGAGGTCCAACCATCCCTTCAAAATAGGACAATTTGCTACAGCATATCTACAGGTGAAGATGGCTATCTTGTTTCTGTCAAAACATTTCCATATTTTGCCAAAATAACATCATAGCAGTATGTAACAAAAATGGACTAGGGAAAAAGGCTCTTGAAATAATTTCTGACATTGAGCCAAAATTGGTCACTAATTTCCATCCAGTCCACTGTTGCAACCCAGAATAAGCCGCCCGACTCTGCCTCACGAAATCAGTTAACTAACTAAAGGCAGCTCTCTGTTCTTCTTTCTCATTTTACCCTTTGTATGATGACTTGTAGGCCATCTCCTCTGGAGAATCTCTGAACCGTACCTACATCTTTCCTAAAAAGGGGGCACGTGGGCCCAGACCTGAGCACAGCGCCCAGATGTTGTCAGGCCGGGACCCGGTTTGGCCGGCCTCTCCCGCTGCCTGCCTGGGGTCTGAGGCTCCACAGATGTCACTACCATGGCAGCTGCTCGGTGCAGCTGGGGCACATCCGGGCTCAGGGTAACTTTATAGCCAGCACAAATGCCTATCGTGGGTCTCCCTTGTCCTGGTCTCCGCCAGTGAACTCTGAATCCAAAGCTCAGGACACTGACCCACATTAAATTTTAGTGACATTTTCAAAAGCCATTAACAGAGGAAAGGGTGATGAATAAGGACGTTACAGAATATAGCTTTCTTGCTCAGGTTTTTTTTTTTTTTTCTGGCCTGCAAATATGAAAACAATATGCTTAGTCACAGGTAGCTGTGGAGTACGAAGTTAAACCGGGTAATAAATACCTTTCCAGCTTCACCTTCTGCCACTCATCCACATGTTGCCAAGTTACAGTTGCCTGAATGTTCCCCAAAGCGAGCCACATTCACTCAGGTATCCGGTCTTAGCAAATGTCTGCCTTTTCTCAGACAAAACTTCACTTCCTCGATAAGTTGTCTCAGGTGGAATTAGGCTCTTTTCTTTTCTCCCTCCCTTCCGAATATGGACACCCTGTACCCTTGTTTAAAACTCGACTTCCTTCTCTAGTCTAGGATTTCCTTGAAAGCAGGGATAATAACTTACTCAAATGTGTACTCACCGGGACTTAATAATCAATCAATGAATGAGTATATAGAGTGAGGACTGTATAATAACAACTACCTGGTGGTTCCTTAGATGAGAACATCAAACTTTAAAACCTGTATCACTTACCCTTGAAAACATAGGTAACTATGGCATTTAGTTAATGACTCAAAACTACCATCTGCTATTTTAACACTTAAAAAGGAAGGAAAAAAAAATCTCAAAGTAAAAAGAATGGTCCTTTACTGTTATTACAAAACTTGCTGACATGACCTATGTTTTTCATTTCACTCTAGGTGAGGAAAACCTTCGCCATGGATGTGTGTGTTTGTGGGGTCCCTGAGCTATTTTACCCTGAAAGATTTCTCCATCTATTCGGTCACGTGCTGTTTGGAAGAAAAAGGGACTCTAATGCCAATTTCAACTCCTTCCTAGATGAAGATGGAGAAGATGATTTTTTTTTTTTGAGAAGGCTCTTAAGTGAAAGAAAATATTCAAAGACTAAAAAGGGGGACTTTAGGACAAGTTCCCAGAGGAAGACAATATCACAGCAAAACAAAACAAAAAAACCCAAAAGCGAACCCCCAAAAAATAGGGAAAACATGTCTGGTAAGTTGAGTCAAGAAAAGCTAATACTTGCCCTGCTGGTTTGGTTCAGGGGATAGAGCGTCAGCCTGGGGGCTGAAAGATCCTGGGTTTGATTCTGGTCCAGGGCACATGCCCAGGTTGCTGGCTTAATCCCCAGTGCAGGAGGCAGCCAATCAATGGATCCTCTCTCATCGTTGATGTTTCTATCTCCCTCTCCTTTCCTTCTGAAATTGATTAAAAAAAATACTATTATATATATATATATATATATATATATATATATATATATATATCTTTTTTTTTTTTTAAAGCTAATACTGGAACTCAGTTATCTTAGGCTAGAAATTTTCTTTCTTTCTTTTTTTTTTCTTTCTATTTTGCTCTCTGTATTTTTATAATTCCTATATGCTATTTCCTGTTTTTACTTTTATTTTGTTTTTCCCCTAGTTGCCTAGCAAAGCCACTTTTGAAAAATTCCAGGCTAGTCTCTGCTGAACTAAGGGGATTTATCCATACCTAAGCCAACATAGCTCAGAAGTGAGGGCGTCTCTGGGGACCAGGTGTGGTGGCAGCAGAATGGTGGGCGAGTGCGGCAGCTGCAGCCGGGAGCCCTCCCGCCCCGTGTTCCCTTACACAGCCTGATGAGAAATCCATACGCTGCAGGAGGAGAGTGTAGTATTTCTCCTCATTTTCCTATTTGGGTCCAACTTCTTGTTCCTGACTTTCTAGTACCAATCGCAACGTAAAAAGTATTTGTGCTCTCCTCTAAGCAGAGCACTGTGGATTTTATGGAATTGCCATCCTTTTTTCATTAAAATTCTTGCTTTGAGGTGACTGTTTCTTGACCTACTGACCAACTGGCTTTTTTTTTCTTTTCTTTTTTTTCCCTTCCAATTACATAAACAGGATGGGGAGGTAGAAAGTGAAAGAACTGAAAAAAAAGAAGCTGTTTCAAGGAAAACCATTCATTCAAAAAAGCATTCTTGGGTGCCAACCATTCATTCCGTCGATATTTATGGGTGCCTTCTAGGAGCAAACCACCGTGCTGAGGACGCGGAGGTAAAAAACACATTCTCAGCCATCCGGCTCTCCCTGATGCTGGAAAGGAAGGCAAGTGGGCAGATGCCACCCTGCATGTCAAACAAGGAGATAGAAGCTGAGGGTGCAGCAGGAGTATGTAAAATCAGCCCCCAATCCGGACCTAGAGCAAAGAAAGGTTTCCTGAGGGTGAAATCGGAGGGCTGAGTTAATCAGTGAGGTTCACAGAGTGGTGGGTGGGAGCTGCAGGGGAGGCAGAGAAGCTGAGAGGTTCGTGTCTGTGGTATATAACAGGCTCTTTGAGGGCAGCCAAAGGGGGCAACATGGGGTCAAATGAGGTTGGAGAGACAGCCAGGGTCAGATCATAAAGGTCCTTGCATCCATGCTGGGAAACGGGGATTGTATCCTATAGATGACTGGTTCTCAAACAAGTGCAATTTTCTCCCCCAACCCCAGGGACAACTGTCAGTGTTTAGAAACATTTTAGGTTGTCAGACTGGGTGGTGAGTGGGCTACTGATGCTTACTGGCTGTCTACTCCTGAGCAACTTACTGAAACCCAGTTTCTCCATCTTTTTTACTTTTTAAAGTATATTTTTATTGATTTCAGAGAGGAAAGGAGAAGAAGAAGAGAGAGAAACATCAATGAGAGAGAATTACTGATCGACTGCCTTTTGCATTCCCCTTACTGGGGATTGAGCCTGCCACCCGGGCATGTGCTCTGACTAGGAATTGAACTGTGACCTCCTGGTTCATGGATTGACACTCAACCCCTCAGCCACAATGCCTGGGCACCAATCACATTTTTAATTTTTTGTTGTTATTGTCAATCCTCACCTGAGGATACTTTTTCCATTGTTTTTCAGAGAAAGTGCAAGAGAGGGAGAGAGACATATTGGCTGGTTGCCTCCCACATGCAGGTGGGAGCGAATGGGAAACCCAGGTACATGCCTTTGACCAGGAATCGAACCTAGGACCCTTCAATGTGCAGCCTATGCTCTAACCACTGAGACCTACCAGCCAGGGTCCAATCACATTTTAAGTCTCCTGCACGAAAACATAAATTAACAATTTAGGGATAAAAGAAGTCTGAGAACATTGCTATAGACTGAATTGCGTCCCCCCAAATTCATACACTGAAATCCCAATCCCCCATGTAACTGTATTTGGAGATAGAGCCTTTAGGAAGTAAAGGTAAATGAGGTCAGAAGGGCGGACATGCTCTTATGAAAAGAGACACCAAAGATCCTGCCCCTTTCCCATACCTGCACACAGAGGTCCTGTGGGCACAAAGCCAGAAGAGAGCTCTCACCAGAAACTACATTGTCCAGTACTTTAATCTTAACCTTCTCAGCCTCCCAAACTACGAGAAAAAAAATTTCTGTTGTATGAGCCACCTGATATGTGGTATTTTGTTATGGCAGCTCAAGCTTACTAATATAAATATCTCCAACAAAACAAAAAGAAGTATAGCAATATGGAGGAAATTGAGGCTATGAAGAGGGAAAATATTTAAAAACACTATTAGAGAAATGAAAACACATATCCACACATGAACTTGTACAGTCATGTGCCACTTAACAATATGGATACATTCTGATAAATACACAGACGATTTCATCATTGTGAAAACATCACAGTGTACTTACACAAATCTAGATGATACAGCCAACTACATACCTAGACTATATAGTATGTAGTATATACTATCGTCGTAAATATTCAGTTTCTAAAAAAACTAAATGCAAGCTTACATACAACCCAAGAGCTGTACTCCTAGGCACCTATCCCAGAGAAATGAAAATTAACATCACATAAAGAACTATACCTAAAGGTTCATATCTTTATTTGTAATAGCCCCAAACTGAAAGCAGCCAAATATCCCATGATAGCTGAATGGTTAAATAAACCACAGAATACTAATCAGCAAAAAAAAAAAAAAAAAAAAAAAAAAAGTAATGATATTGCTACAGGCAACAACTTGGATGCATCTCAAGGACATTATTCTAGTGGGGAAAAGCCAATCTCAAAAGGTCACATACTACTTGATTCCATTTAAGCAATATTCTTAAAATTATAAATTACAGAAATGGAGAACACATTAGTGGTTGCCAGGGGTTAGAATAATGAGGGGGAAGAAAATGGGTAGTATAAGGGAGATAATGTAGTGATGGAATATAATAGTTTTGTATCTTGATTGCAAAATCTACACATGTGATAAAAAGACCTACAACTATACACACATAGTACAAATGCCAATTTTCTGGTTTGATATTGTACTATATTTATGTAAAATATAATCATTGGGGGGGAACTGGGTAAAGGGCATATGGGACTACTTTGTACTATTTTTGCAAATTCCTGTAAATCTGTATTTATATCAAAACAAGAGTTTTTATAAAGGATAACAGAGCCCAAAACAGAGCTCTTAAGGATTAAAAAAACATTATGGCAGAAATTAAAAACTCAATAGGACTGGAAGATGAAATTAAACAAATCTCCCAAAGAGAGCAAAAAGACAGAGGTGCGGTTAGCCAAAGAACAAACAAGCACAGCTAATGGACAAAGACAACAGTGTGGTGAAGGCCAGGGTGGGGAGGTTGGGGTCGTGGTGGTGGTGATAGGGGGCTGGGTGGTGGGCAAAGAAGGGGGAAATGGAGGGCATCTGTAATAATGTCACCAACAACAAAGGAGATTAAAAAATTTTAAATTTGAGAATGAATCATATAGAAGCAACAACAAAATAACGAACTCAAGAAAGAGAGGATGGAGAAAATAGGGAGAAAATCAACAACAAAATAATTCCAGAAAACTTTATAGAACAGAAAGAATGCTTTTCTGATACCTACCAAAATGGGTGAAAACAGATCAAGGAATACCTTTGTGAAAGATCATAACACTGGGGACAAAGAGAAGATCCTTCAAATTTCCAGAGAGGAAAAATCAAATCCCACACAAAGGAACGGAATGGCTTTGGACTTCAACACAGCAACACTGGATGCTAGAAGATCACAATGCAATGTTTTCAAAATGCTGGTGGAATCCAACCAACAATTCTATACTCAACCAAACGTTCAGGCAAGTAAATGTGAAGGTAGAGGACTAACATTTTTAGACGTGCCCAATGTCTTAGCCATAAATTAAAAAATTATTTCTTATGCACGCTCAAGAAACTACAGAAATGGTGCTCCACTAAAACAGGAGAGTAAGCTGGACAGCTTCCTTTAGGATACCCATGGATAATCACACATCCCTGCTCCTCCCTCAAGCCTCTTTCACCCATATTCCTGACCTCATTAGCATGGCATCAGAACCAACGAGGAGCCCAAGCTGGGAACCTATCACCCATCACCCTCTCATTTCTCAAAACTAATGATGAAGTCTTGATGACTTTACCCCCTAAATAGTTCTCAGTTCTGTCCCGCATGCTGTGGCCTTCCTTTAGGTCTATAACATAATAACCACCCAACCAGTTTCCCTGTGACCGGACTTGGGCTCCTTCAGATCCATTCTCCACAATGTGTCCCCAACCATGTGCCTAAAATGCAAACCAGATCATGTCACTCTTTATTTTTAAAAGCTTCTTGACTTCTGGCCCGCAGACAAGATAAACATATGGCAGGTTGACTGCCACTATCTTCAATTCCCTCCCACCTCCCTGGTAGAGATCATACAGAATCCATCCTGGCAGTCTCCTGTAGAGCCGAAGCTCAGCCTCACAACTTTTTCCACATAGCTCATAGGCACCCACCACGAGGTAAAATAAATTAAAAAAATAAAATAAAAAATTGCAACTCCTGGTCTGCAAGAAAGGCCAGGAATTTCAGCAAGGCACAGAGGCCCTTCCAGACTTGACTTCTGGGCTCTGCAGGGGACTGCCCACCTCCATGTACCACACCTTCTATCAAGCTCACACTGTCCTGTCTGTAGTGTTTCTTCACCTGGCTCATCACCTGGCGGGCCACTCCGGGGCCCTTCTCTCCCTAAGGGCAGTCCTCTCTTTCCCCCGAGCTCTCTCATGACAGGCTGCTCCCTAACCACATTGCATTCAAGTTCTGTTTGCAAGCCTCCCTCACTAGACTGAACTTACTGCAGGACAAAGGCCCTGACTTACTATCTCAGTATTTCTAGCACCTACTCCAAAGCGGAAGTCCAATACACTCTAGTTGGAATTAAAGGAACATAAATGCAGCAGGGCAGTAGGGGCGAAACAGACGAGAAAGTAAAAGGCCCTAGGGAGTAGGGGTAAAACTGTCATATTTTGCATCCTTCCCCAAAGGCCTGGTCTGCTGGTTGCTGCTCTTTCTGTTATTCCCAGAATAAGAAATGACAGCTGCTTTGGATGATGTGCAATGGTATGTTACTCGTGTTTTGTATCTGCCGCTTCTCGACGGCAAGCCCTTTGAGGGGAGGGGCTGTGTCTTTCTTTATGTGACAAGCACCAGGGTGCAGGGAGCCAGGGCGGGATGGGGCCCCATCGCGGGAGGAAGGCCGGCCTGGGCGCCGCGCCCGGCCCGCCCCGCCTCCTCTCCCCCTGCAGACCCCTCCTCACGCCGGCCGCTTCCCGCCGGGCGGGCGGCGGAAGTCGCCGGCGGCTCTTCCCTGCCCACGTGGAGCCTTTTCCGGTGCGCCCGCCCCCTCCGCCTCTCCGATCCGGACCTGGCCCTCACCTCAGGATTCCCAATGTGCCTCCGGACAGACATATCGGCGCCAACCGACCACGTTCAGGGTTCTAGCCTCACCGGCTGACTCTCTAACCCTAACTTCCTACCCCTACAATCCCCGCTCAGCCGCCTCCCTACAAACGCTGCTCCGATTGGCTGGCCTTTCCCGGCCAGCCAATGGGGGCCTCGTTTACTACTTCTGCAGAGTCCAGGTAGAAGGAGACGCTACTCCGATGGTTGCCAAGGGCAACGCGGGACGCCGGCTGCCAAGGCCTTTTGTGCTCCCGGCGGGGCCCCGCGCGCTGGAGCGGGAGCGCGGGAAGAGGGGCGCGGGGGAGGGGCAGGCTGGCGCCTGAGTGGGGGGCGACTGCGCAGATGCGGGCGGGGGAGAGGGTGAGGAGAAGGGGAGCAGGGGCTCGAAAGTGGGGAGGGAGATGGTGGTGGTGGTAAGAGAAACGAGCGTTCTAGCAAATGTGGAAGGACAAATAACGGTTTAGGATACACACCCCACCCACCACCCTCCTTAAGGCCATGCCAAACATTGGGACCACTTCCACCATTGGGGACAGATGAAGGACAGGACTGTTCAGCAGGGGTGGAAATCCGTAGCTTATTATTTTCAGGTTAAGTTAATAATGCAAATTACGCAAAATATCGTGTAAATACAGTAATTAGTGTTGCTCTAAAAGCTTTTCGCTAGCTGGAGAAAGGCGGCCCTAATTGCAAAGTACATACACCATTCTGTGACTCAAGATTCATTTAACAAATATTTAATAAGCACCTTATGAGAAAAGCCTCGGAAGGTTTTGTGGAGGATGGGAGGATGACTAAATCCCAATCCGGTTGTCATGGAAACCATTGTGACTCCTGCCATCAGCCACCACCTGTTCTTATTCCAGATCTGAAAATTAAGTCCTAGCACCTTTATAAAACAATCGCACACAGTTTGACTTGGCTCCGCAATGTCCCACCAAATCCATCAAAATTATTGTTTCCTTTTACATGGGAGGAACAACACAGTAACCCTTTGTTCTTTGCTCTTAAGTTGTTTTTTCAGGGACGGAGAAATGTTAACTCTGAATTGTTCATATTCCTCGCTCTCTGTGGATAGCAGCATCCATGTGAGCTATTTTAGGGTCTGTGTAGATGACCCATTCAACAATATGGCCTCTCGTGCCCTGTCTTCTCAGACACTTCGGCATGTCACCCATAGGGCCAACCCCTTTAATCCTGTTGTCACAGGTGGGTGACCCTAGAAGCTTCCACTGCCTATATCTGTCTCTTGTCTTTTCAAGCTTCTTTCTGAGTTTTGTCTGAACTTCTCTAGGGTTCTCCTTTATAAAGGTGCTAGAACTTAATTTTCAGAGCTCTAAAATCCCGGCTCCTCACCCCTTCACTAGAATAAGGAAGAGTTCAAGGGTTGCAAAAAATTGGAAGGGTAGACGTGGGGAGGATATTTATCCAGAACCTTTTGCATTGTAAGTAGAAACTTGTAGCCACGTTACTAAGAATGTATGCTTATCTTTTACTCAGTGCACTGTAAGGATAGGGTAGAATAAACAGGAGAAGGGAAAGAAGAGAGGAGGATAATAAGGAACAAAACTAAGGTGAGAAGGAGCAGAAAAGAAATTTAAAGACATTTGTTGGTAAAATTATTGAATACACGAGAAGAGGTAAGGGAGGCAAAGAATGGGGTGGCTGTAATTTTTCTAACTTGGAGAATTGAATAGATGAGTGGTAATTCATTAACCAAGTACAAGAAAAATTGAAAGTACACGGAGATTATAGAAATGTGGGTTCTGGGGCCCAACTGTCAGAGAAGTGTGTCTGCAGTGGGGTTAGGCATCTGTAATTTAAATTCATGTCCCCTGTCTTTCATTCCTTGGTTCTGATGCATAGAGTCCAAAAGACTGTGCTCTAGAAAAACCTCCAATTTCCTTTACATTTTGCCTCGGAATCCTTGGAAAGCTTACAGCTATAAATCAAAAGGCTTTTAGCTTCATGAGTTTCTTTTTAGGATTCCCTTTGGATTTGCTGCAGCGAAATTGCATCAAAATTAAAACAAGTTGCTTACCCCAAATATAAATACCAGTAAATGGCACAAAAAGATGATTCATAAAAGAAAAACTTTCGATAAACACGTGAAAGAAAGACAAAACCAAACAGCTAGATCCCATTTTTCAACTAACAAACAGACAAAGATTTTTTGTTTTCTCTCTCTTTTTTTTTTTAAATGATAACGCTCAGTGCCATGCTCATACATTGTTAATGTGAGTAAATAGAAGTGAGACCATTTTGAAAAGTAATTTGAAAGTGAATATGGAGAAGCTCTCAAATCTTAATAGTCTGGGAATTCCTTCTAAGGAAATAATCAGAGAGATGCACAAACATTACAGCCACAGATATTTACTGGAATTGTATTTAAAAGGTTAAAAAATGGAAACAACCTAATTGATCATCACTTAAAAAGGATTACAATAAATAGTGGCATATCCATAAAATGTAACATTATGGAATAATATTTAAGGAATAATGAAGGCAATGGAGAATTGTTTCTGATGAAATAAATGGAAAGAGCTGGAAACAATTTTTAATTTAATAAAACCTGATTTGTGAGAGGTGGGTGGGGAGCAGTACTCACAAAAATATTGTTTAGAGAATATTTAAAATGAAAATTGTCTCTGGATTGTGGATATTTATTTTACTTTTTACACTTTTGTGTATTTTGCAGATTTTCTTAAGTGATTATGAATTATTTTATACCGTAACAAAACATCCACCCCCTAAGAAATCAAAAGCTTCATTTTATTGCAGTCTGAAAATTGTCTGTGACATTTGTCTGAGCCCATTTAGACCTGAGCTGATTCTGTGTAATTCCACTATTTGATGTGCAGTTCACTCGTTCTTGGCAGTAAAAGACTCTTCAAGCACTTGAGTAAGATCCTTGCAATCAGAGTTGTAATTGCTAAGAGGTTCGAGCTTTGTTTGTAAGAGAAGAAGTTCTGATTCTTTTCTTTAAAAGTTCCTACTTCCACTGATTAATGTCATTTTTCATGAAGTTAGAAGTGCTCTCGTGAACTTCCATTTGCGTGACGTCTTCTTTTTAACCCTGTATGCGTTCCAAAAGCTTTTAGTTTCTGCAGCGTTGGTGGGAGGCCCAGGCAGGTAAGTGCAGTTGGTTTAAGGATAGTGTTTTAGACTACTGTGATGGGTCAGTGGACGTTTGCATGTCAAGCAGTCTGCCCTCTTCTGAACCTAAAAACCTCTGGATCCTCTTCATCCTGAATCCATCTTCTTCTTCTCCATCATTCGCCATCCAATTAGCTCCTCCTCCCCTCTCGCCCAGCTCACTCCGGTTTCCTGGTCAGAGCCCAGGAGGCTCCCCTTGGACCTGTCTCAAGGTGCTGCTTCTCAAATATGGGCCTTGGCTCCCATCCTTGGCTTCATTTACCTTCACTTCCTAAACCACACACATTCAGATGCTTAAGAAAACAATTCTGCCCAATTCAGCCCGGTCCTGTAGTCCTTCCTCTGCACCCCACAAATGGAACAGCACTGAGGCAGTGAACCCACAGATCCACAGGCTCTGCCCTGTGATAAAGTCCCTGTGGTTCTGGTAACAATTTGGTGTCATTCTACCTGGGGCTTGAATGTGTCAAGGGAGGAGCACGCTAACCTCCAGCCTAAGCGGAAGGCCTGGCCTTTCTCTGTCCCCCACTTGGCTAGAGTTGAAGTACGTGGCCTGAGCCCAAAGGCCTCAGCCATCCTGCAGCCTCTCCAGGTACGTGCCCTTGACAGGGAGTCGAATGTGGGACCTTTTGGTGTGTGAGTGGGTGTAGAGCGGGGTGGGGGGTGGTGTTGGGAGCTGGTGCTCTAACCATTGTGCAGTACAAAGCCAGGGTGTAAATATCTTTTTAAAAAAAATGATCATTATATAGACTTTTTCAGACAAACAAAAACTGAAGGAATTCATGGCCAATAAACCCATATCATACAAAATGGTAAAGTAAGTTGTTTTTTTTTTTGGCAGAAAGAGTATGATTTTTAAATACACAAATGAAGAGCAATAGAAATGATACAATGAGGGCAAATATAAAAGACATTTTCTTTTTAAAAAATATATTTTTTATTTATTTATTTTTACATAGAGGAAGGGAAAGGGATAGAGAAAGGAACATCGATGAGAGAGAAACATCAATCAGCTCCTACTGGGGATGTGCCCACAACCAGGGTACATGCCCTTGATAGGAATCTAATCTGGGACCTTTCAGTCCACAGGCTGATGCTCTATCCACTGAACCAAACCGGTTGGGGCAAAAAGACATTTTCTTTTGATTTTTTATTTTCTTTAAAAGAAAATTTACTGTCTCAGTACAAATAATAATAATGTATTATGGAATTTATAACATGTAGAATTAAAATGCATGAAAATAATAACACAAAGGTTAGGAGAAAAAATTGATTCTTAAACTATACATGAAGTGGGAAATTATTTCAAGGTAGATTATAATAAATTTAGTATGTATATTATAAATCCTAGAGCAACTATTTAAAAAAAAATAGTCATAACTAATAAGCCAATAGTAGGGATAAAATGAGTTAGTAAAAATACTCTGTTATTCCAAAGAAGTCACACACACACAAAAAAAGAATAAAGACTAAATAGGAAAAATAGAAAAGAATAGCCATAATACTTGATTTAATAGTTCAGATTAAATCAAACCATATCAATAGTTAAGTAAAAATGTTCTGAACCAGGGGCATAAGTTATGGTTCTCAGCTGAAATCTAGTTTGCAGTCTGTTTTTGTAAAATAAGTTTTATTGGAATCAAATCATTATGTATATACATCAAACTAAGATAATGTTATATATCTGTTATGTCTCAACTTTAGAAAACAAAGAATAAGAAGAAGAAAAAAATAAAGTGAAAAGCATCCAGTTGAGTCTCAATCAGTTGAAAAAGTTGTGAAAAATAATGGAATAGTTATTTGAAGCTAAAAAGAATGTTTGTTGGAACACAGCACGCCCATTGATTGAT